AGCTCCCACGGTCTCGTTTTTCACCTGGATTAGGTGTAACGGGTTTTGTTCACTGGAAGCCGCGAGGGACGTTCCTCACTTCAGATTCAGAATGGGGGGGGAAAAAAAAAAAAAAATCTGGTGCAGCTAAACACTAAGTTTGCAGAATTCAAAAACATTTATCACAACCAAATTTGGAGAAATTCATTAGGCTTCTCGTCAAAGGCTTTGTCTGGAGAATGAGTCGTCAAGAAGTGCTAATCAACCAGTGCACAATGCTGCGATTGAGGTCCAATAAGAAAAATGGATTATTGGATTTTGGTGTTTTTTGCTACTGCGTTTTTTGTTTGTTTGTTTGTTTTTTAGACAAAAGACACACCAATCAATCCTTCAAGATAAAACTATCTCCAACTGTAACCTCTCTATTGAATAAAAGAACATTTCACATTCTTATTCAACAGATTTATCCATTTTTTTTACTTTACCTAATCATGGATAATTTAAAAGAAAATTCTGGAAGTATAAATGAGCAAAAATGGCATCAATTATGTAAAACATACTTGCAAATTTCCAGGGTATTCAGACATGACTCTTTCAGGTAATAAAAACAAAACAAAACAAAAAAAGATCCATCTAGGAAGGCAGTGAATTTCATCTGCTGTATTCTGTGCATAAAAGTGATTAGAAAGATGTCACTAAACCAATTTTCATCTTTTTTTTTATTTACTCAGTAAACGACGCAGAGAAGATAACATCTCCAAATCTGTCAACACCAAAACACCCCAAGGCAAGTCCAGGTCAACCGACTCGGACCGGAAGAGGAAAAGGTGATTAAATCTTGAGGTTCAAACCACTTTGTGTTTCTCTTGCATTTTTCTTCACAACCTTGTGCAATTTCAAATGATTGTATGTGGGCAATAAGACAGTGAGATCCAGCCTTCTTTCTGTCTTTTGAAAGAAGGCTGATGCATAAAATCTGCATTTCTGCAAAATCTTTTATTGTGTAGATTTATTTTTTTTTTTTTTTTTTATATTTTTTTTTTTTTTTTGAAGAAAGAGTCCTGATGAGATTTCTTCAGTTTACTGGCGGCTCAGTGTTGTTGTCCTAGAAAGACTTACAGTTAGACCTGATGGAGCACTTTACTCTGATGACAGCACAGCGTCGAAGTCACTTCTGAGAAGCCTCCCTTTGTTGTGTGATATGTCAGCGGTGTTCCAGTAAGAGCAGCGTGAAAGTGCAATCGTTTCTGATCAGGTCTCACTCTCCTGTTGTGGTTTTCCTGGACAGTTTGGGGTGTATTTGCTGCACATGACAAGACATTTCCTGTCCGGTGGGGGGCAGCCTGTCTTTACTCCCCTCTGAGACAGAAACAACCACGAGGAGAACATTTAGAGGAGGAACTTTATCCACAACTTGTGAAAACGATCAGCCACTTTTGTACCTGGAGGTGTGTTTGTGTGTGTGGGGGGGGGAGTAAGAGGGGGGTGTGGCTGTGTGGTTTGGAGTTGTGGCTGCTATTCAGCATGGTGTGTGTATATTTGTGTTCACTTGTGGTTAATGCTCTGCGAAAACTGAAATGTCAGGCTGAACTAAACCAAAGCGAGATACAAATGTGTGTTGAACAGAGGAACATTTGGCATAGCTGTTTGTTTGTTTGTTGTTTGTTTTTTAAGCAGAATTAATTTATGGTAATTTATGTGAAAGTACAAATTTACTGCTGTGGCTGACAGAATCCACAATGAAGTTCAGTAAAAATAAAAAAAAAAGGAGGAGGTAATTTCTGAAGAAATCACTTTTTTTTTTTGCTGCTGCTGCTTCTAACATTCAGTTATAGTTTCTTGAGTCTCAGCATGTTTCGCTTAAACTGTCAGATGCTTTTCTGAATGTGCGATTTTTATTTGACTATTTTCAGATTGGTAGGAAAAACTTGAAGCTTCTTTGTATACTTTGTTCTGAGTCAAAACAAAGTGCCTATTTATACACGTTTGCATTGACACATCACTTTCCATTTCCTTTTTGTATTCATGTCAGTAAACAACAGCATAGGAGTTTAGTTGTTGCTGTAGTAGTGTGCTTTCGTAAATTATAAAGACACAAAAATGCTTAAATTTGAGTTTTATTATTGATGTACATTTCATTACTACTTTTATTCTCATTTACGAGTTCTTTTCCAAGTTTGGACCAGTTCACTTGTACAAAATAACTCATAAATTACCTCCTACTAGTAAATATTCTTTATTGGAGTCACATTTTCCTTACAGTTGACTCTGAGCAGGTTGTAGAAAGTATGAGACGACTCATTTTTCAGTTGGGTACAATTTGACTAAAATTGGAAAGGTTCAGAGAAGAAAAATGACTAACATTTGTTGCTGAACAAAACCCCTCTGGTTTTCTTCCCATGGCTTCAGATGGCAACCATTTGAATCTTTTGTTTTTGCCTTCTGCTCATCCGTGATCAGTTCAGAGGCACAACAAGTCCAGGACCATCCAAGACTCCAAATAATTCAGATTAGAATATGGTAGAAATGAGCTTTATGTTCTCTCAACTGGGAAATCCAGATTTTCCAGCAGCAAAGTGACGGGCAGCTCAAAACATGCAGGTTCATACAAATGTAGAAGTATGCAAACAGAAAGTAAGAATATGGAGATTACAGTGGAGGAAAGTTTACAGCATCAGAAAAAAAATTGTGATTCTTTTTCACATTTCAAATAAAATGTGAAACTATATAGGACAACTGATGGAAGAGAGTACAATATGTACATTTGTGTTTATAGAAAAATCTACAATAAATGGAAAAGTTAGGCAAATAACAGATTGAATGTAAAAATGTTGGCAGATTTGAGGGCAGTGATGGTTATAAAGCCAAGCAGCTGCTGGGAGGAAGGATCTGTGATTACGTCCTTTTGTGCGCCAACTTCAATTTTCTAAAACCTTTAAGAATTATTACACCTTTTTACTGTGCCTTTATTCTCTACAGCACATAGTTTGAACAAAGATCTTTTTACCCACCAAAGGGTTTTTGCACACTGTATTCAAAGAAATTTAACAAAACCTGTTAAGTTAAAATGGTTCAAAAGATTCAAAGCTTATTATTGGTTAGTTTTCCACAAACAGAAATCTAATGATTATCTGTTATTAGCAATACCATTTCCTGATTTTCTTGTTCCTGTAACGTTTGCTGCCCTGCAATATTCCGCTCCACATGCACAAGCTAACTAAGCCTGGACAGGAGAGAATCGGTTTTTCTCAGGAAAATGTCGCCCATCTGTCTCTGAATATATGCATAACTACCTGAAAGGTGATCACTGTTTAAGCTGCCATCACCTTTTTTTGTTTTTAAGCTCTTTGGGGGCCTCGGAAAGTCGACACCATTGCTGCCAAAGGCAATATATCCACACTAGGATGAGGATCAGGTCATTATTTACCATTTGTAAATATTCACAAGTCAAAATTTATAATTTTTTTTCTTCCTAAATACACTTCATGTTCACAGCACCTAGTTCAAACCTTAGCTCTGGTCAGTGAACGCAACATATTTCAATCTCGTTTAATTTCTTGTCTGTATGGACGTGAAGTCCACACAGTTACCAGTTTTGTCCCCAATAAATTAAATAATGAATATATGATAGCACAGTAAAAAGCTTATTGCATCTTATTTGCTATTTAGTAATGTGGAATAAAAAGTATTATTTCCAGATGTAGAAATGCACATTTCAGTGTGACATGTATTTGTTTTTAGCCCCATTACTAAATGTGGGCATTTATTTATTTTGATATCATTTTAACAAAAAAAAAAAAATTACAATTAATTTTTTTTGTGCTATTTTTCTCCTCCGTTTGATAAATTTGAAAATATAAAATCCAATTATTGTTTGCTGCTTAGTGGCACAAATCACACTTTCATTGGTGTCCTGAAGAATATTACACATGGGTATGTTTGGGGTTATTATTGCTGTGGCCCTAAAAAAATAATTTTATATATTGATAAAACTTTAAGTCCGTACTTTGATGCCTCTAAATAAATTGTGGCGCAATCAGTTTTCCTTAGAGAAGCCACTTAATTATTAAATTATCCAGCTTTGTTATTTTCTGTGAAGAAGAAAAAACAGCAGATGTTTACAGCAGGTCACAAACATCATCCTGACCCACGAACGTCTCGCACTTCACTGAAAATACTAAACCAGGAGTCCATTTCCTCCACAATTTTGCGCTGCTTTGCGTTTGCCAGACTGCGAAGATGAAAATGCTCAGATAACCTGCAGTGCTGAGTGGGTTTGCTTCTGTTTTAAAGTGTGAAACTCTGCTTTTAATTAATCCGACTCTGCACGTCTCACACGATTGAAGTGACTCAAGGCGAGCCTCCGAAACGTCTCAGCGGTCTGAGTTTCTTTTCCACTTTGTGTTTCAGGGTGAAAACCAGCGACTACTAACCACCTCCACCTGACTTCGGCTCCGGCAGCGAAGCCAGCCTCGGCAGGGAACTCCAGCTCTCCACCCCTCCATCCAAACCTCTGTGCTTTTTTGTTTTGTTTTTTTTTTGCTTTTTTTACGTTTGTCGTGGTTGTAGTCCGGCCAAGTCCCATGTTTTCAGCAACACTCACCTCAGAACTCATGTCTTTAGCTTCGGCGTTTTTTCCCCCCAAAATCCTCTCTGAACTGTTTACAGCAGACACTTTGACATTCACACAGGAGCTTTAAACCCCCTCCTCAGACCTCACCTCCGCCGCCGTTTCAGCGTTTTACTTTTGTTTTCCTCACATTCTGACCTCTCTTATAAGACTGAACGTAGGGGGTATGCATTGCCAATTTGTAATGCTGTTCATATGTGTATTTTTAGAAGAAAAAAAAAAGAACATTTTTTCAGAGGCGAAAACAAGAGGTTCTATTTTTTATAAAAAAATCTACTTGAACTTTTTAAAGGTGACATGGGGTTTGGTATAAGAGAAGTACTGCCTCCACCCCCAAGTAATAGTGGCATGATATTACAATGATGTACATAGTACGCCGTTTGTTTTTTTAAAGATGTGTATTAAAGATATTTTTGCTTGTAAAGAGAAAAATAAAGAGCTTATGTTACAGATCTTAATGCTGCAGAAAACTCATGACTTGTTCTCATTTTGAAATTAAGTTGTCTTAAGTTTATTTAGAGTGTAAGCTCAAAATAAAACTGGTATTTTGTCTACCTACACGTCTGCATTTCTCGTTTTTATTTTAAAGCAAAGCGTATGAGTGAGAAAAAAAAAAAAAAACTACAGTTTTCTCTTTTTAAAACATTCCTTTCCCATAACCAGGCCCGCTCACACAATGTCCAATACAATGATGCAAACAGACGGACAAAAACCGCGGACTTGGCAGCCGGCCCGGCCGTTGAATAAGAGTTGTTCTGTTACGACAGCGGATCAAATTACTCGGAGGTTGGACTGCCAGGAACACACGCTGGCACCGAGCCAAGCACTTTCAGTTAGCAGGGTGGATTTAAAGGGAGTGAAATCAGGTCGTTATCACTTTAAATAAACACGCAGGTATTCGATAAGACTTTATTGGATAAAACACTTGGAAGGGACGCAGGAGCGCTCGAGCTAAAAAATCTCCTGGAAATGACGGTGCAGGGAATATCAAGAGAACAATCATGCAAACTTAAAGATTTAAGCTCATTTTTACAACTATAATATCCTCAGTTAGAAAAGTGCAGGAGGGATGCCACTGCCAAACAGCAAACTCCAGGAAGTTGGGATCTTCCACTTGCTCTTCGGTTCTTCGCTCTGGAAGAAATAAATAAAATAAATCAAAACCTTTGTTGCTGGTTCGATGCCTGCAGACTTAGAAGAAAGTCTAGTTTTAGGCTGACCTGTCCGTCCAGCAGATGGAGCCAGTCGTTGAGGTGGTTGACGAGGGCGAACGCATCAGGAATGTTGTCGCCCTCTGAGCAGAAGAGCAGCAGCACCGCCAGCGGGAGATCCTCGGCACAGCTGAGCACATCCACAGCGGCAACGCGTCATTTTGACACCAACGCAGACATTTAACGTGTGAAAGGACTGCAAGGTTTTACATTTACTGAAAGGAGAGGCAGCAGTGCCTTGCTAAAGTATTCACTTCATGATTTTATTTACTTTTACTTTTTTGTTTTTTACATTTTGTCATGTTTAATGTGGTCGACCAACAGAAAGTAGAGCATGAATTTAAAGTAGAAAAAATCTGATAAGTGTGGCATGCATTTCTCCTGCCCCTCCTTTCGAGAGATCCCCTCAAATAAAATCAACTTCAGTTATAGTTTTAAGCACAGATTCTAAATTGGACTCAGGACTAGACCTTGACTAGGCCATTCTGAACAATCGGTATTCTTTGTTCTAAATCACTGTTGCTCTGGCAGGTTTTCATTCAGCATTGCCTTGTATTTAACTCTATCAGGCTATGAGCACCGACAGGTTTTACTGTTTCTGCCACCAGCATGATGCTGCCACCACCATGTTTAACAACAAGGATGATGTTTATCAAGGTGAAGTGTGGTGTAGGGGTTTGTTTCCTTGGCGTGTAGATCAATAAGATCGATTTTGAGCACTTTCTACCACATGCAAAATTAATGATGTTTCTCAATAGTTGCTCTGTACCAGAAGTATTTCCAGATCAGAGCTACATATGCTTGGGATCTTGCTTATTACACACAGGTGGAGGAAAAGGAGCTGCACGTCGCACTTTTTAGAAATCCTTAGACCCATCTGTTTGTATTCTCTCTGCTGGTCTTGTGGTTGCAACTAGAAAGAGTGTGAAACTGATCACGTCTCTCCGTACCCGTCTGTGTAAAGGCCTTTGGTGATGCCGCCTCCTGGGATGCAGAGTCTCGGCTCTGCGTCTACTCCAGGAAACGCCGGGATCCGCTCCATCTCCCTCCAGCCCAGCTCCTTCAGCGCATCCGCACTCGCAGCCAGCAGAGACGGCGTCATGAGGTACCTCAAAGAAGTGCTTTAACGCCAACAATCATCAAGACATGAGCATTCATAACACAAGCAAAAAGAAAAAAATCAAATGATTGATTTTGGGGAGCATGTTTTTACCCCTGCAGCTGCTGGTCGTCCCTCTGGTAGGCGTGGCTGCTGGACAGAACCACCGTCCTGGAGAAACCGCTGGCTTTGATCCAGGACTTGAGCTGCTGACGAAACTTCTTAGACCTCGTCTGCAGTTAAAACAAGGTTTGGAGCCGTGAACATGATGGCGTTTACAGAGACGTCACACAAACATGGTCAGAAGTTCAGCTAGACGTATCACAGGAATGCGAGGCAAATAAATGTAGGGCTTTTGGCAATTTAGATGTTATAATTATCTGAAGTTAATGTACATAACATAAAATATATACATAAAGACCCATTAATATTAGGGTAAAAACCTCAAAAAAATGTATTTTTTCACCATCAACAGGATTTTGGCAAAAACACTTGAGCGTTATATATTCGTTAGAATACTGAATACGTTAGAATAATTTATAAGCCCCTATTCTTTTTTGTTTTTAACATACTTGGAACTCTGCGATCCTGTTAATATACGGCTTCTTACCAAAGGGGTTCAAAAGGCTAGACTGATACGTGATGAAGAGAACAGCACAAATATAAATATATATTTATTTAAAAGAGTGATTGGAAATGATTAAAATGTTTAGAAAATAAAAGATAAAACACAGTGGTGAATGTTTACCTGGATGATTGGTGCTCTGATCTGAAGAACCGCCAGTTTCAGCTCAGCTGCTGTGTAAACTGGATAAAAGTCAGATGACAGATTAATACCATGCAGAAAACTACCTATACTGCAAACCCCTCTCTGCTCATCTCCAGAGTAAGATAAAGATTAAAAGTAACACTTTTTAACACTCTCTTAAGACAAACATATTTTGAGACGATGACAAGTGACTTCTGAATTTGCACTCATGGAATAAAAATTAACTGTAACTGAGATGTGGTGCCACCTTCTGCAGGGGTGTGCAGCTCCTCGGCGTCCGCTTTGCCGCTGGCGTAGGGGTTGTTCCCGGCCATCGGGATCAGGCAGTCTGTATGGAAGTAGCCCACTCTTCTCATGTTGAGGGTGGACACAATGAGGTCAACGGCCAGCTGACCCACGTTACCGACAGCGACCGCAGGCTGTCAAGGCAACAAAGGTAGAGAAATATGGAACAATGAGTGCTATCTGTAATACGTTACCACTATGAATTTCCACACTTGATTCTGACATGAGAAAACAAACAAACAAACAAAAAAAAAAACCCAACACATTATAACTTTGCAGTTCAAGAAAATGTTCACCTCTTCTTCCTAGCAATTATTTTATTTATCGATTAATCGGTCGATTATTTTGACGATTAATCAGAAAAAAAATTGGCACATTCCACATATTTTTCATTTAAACACTTAACCCTTTTTATACATTGGAATCAAAAGATACAGATAAACAACGCACTATATATATATATATATATATATATATCAATATATACTGCTCAAAAAAATAAAGGGAACATTTCACTTTAATTTTGTGTGTGGCTCCAAATCCAGGCCTCCACTGGTTAATAAATTTGATTTCCATTGATGATTTTTGTGTGATTTTGTTGTCAGCACATTCAACTTTGTACAGAACAAATTATTCAATGAGAATATTTCATTCATTCAGATCTAGGATGTGTTATTTGAGTGTTCCCTTTATTTTTTTGAGCAGTGTATATACGTTTTATTGGCTAAAATGGATATAATACGACATTCCATCAGATCCGGATGAAAATCATATGAGGAGTTTTGGGTAAAACATTTTAGTAGTCCTAATAATTTCAAAAATGAATCATAATACATACTTGGTTATATTTGTATAAAGTTATTTTACAGGTTAAAACATGAGAGAAAGCTGTCCTTTTGCTAAATTTCACCGCTTAAACACAAAGGCTGATGCAGGAGATTAACTCCGTCAAACTCACCATGACGAGGGTAAAACCTTGGAAGGTAGCCGGGGAGTCTTGCGAAGAAATAAACATGGTGTTCTTTGGTCGGAAAACACACAGAACCAGGCAGGTAAGCAGAAAAATGGTGTAAATGAAGCTGGATGAGTTAAAACTAGAATTTCTCAGCAGGTTTCACTTCAAGTTTCATGCCTGCTAGTGTTATGGACCTTTTTGGACGCCTGTCTGTCGATGACTGATGACAGAAACGTTAGTAAGGAGGCTTGTGAATGCCTGAAGGAAATGCAAAAAAAAAAAAAATAAATAATAATAATTTCCTCAACACAAAAAATACGTGGTAAAGTTTTTTTTTTCTTTACTCATTTTCTTTTCTCTTACATTATTTCAACCAATTTTGTGAGAAAGCTTAGTACCAACTTATACCTTTTTTAATTAGAGTTTGCATTATGTCCAGGCAAATTTATAGGCAACAAAACAAGTGGTGGCTCTGCACTATTTTTCTAACGGCGAGAGAAGCGCCGCATCCCTGGGGAAGGCGGAGATTATGTGCCGATTAAACCCGGACAGACAGGAAGCTCCTGCCGTCCCTCCGGGATCTAGAGACCAGGGCCAAAAGTGCCACAGTCCAATTTAAAAATAACTTATTCAATATGTAGTGCTTTGAATGACATTTAAACAAATCACGAGATTTATTGATGAGACAAGTAAGTAAATAAATAAACAAACGAGAAATTAATTACATTTGTGATTAACTGCAGTTAAAGAATTAAAAGTATAAATTATTTACAATTCTCAAGAATTATTTAAGTATTTTATTATTTGATAATTCACATAACATTCCATCATGAACAAATTCAAACTAAGACTGATCTAATAGTTCATAAAATTTTATTTATTGGGGTCTGCCTATACAATGAACCTATTGTTCTACACCCAATAAGGCGTTTCTTTAATAAACTTATTTATTCTTCTTCCGTCATCCTTAATGCAGCTTGTACCACCACAAAGAGTGGTATCAAAACATTCAGCTTGATCCCGAGAAGGGAGCTACTATTTTTAGTGGGATTTGGAGTTGAAATGGCGACATAAATTGCAAAAAACGAGGGTGGGTGTCTCATAAGGATAGGATTTATTTTCAAAAGATCTCTCTGACACACACACACACACACACTCACAGCACAGTGGATTTCTGACTTTAACTTGCCCTCACGGGCACAAATATCGCTCTGTTGGTCTCAAAGTCGGCCATGACATAGATACACATGCCTTTGTTTTCTAAATTTTTCTAAACAGTTGCTTAAAACTTCGATGGTTACAAAACTTTCTGAAACATTCCAAGAGCCTTTGGTTTAGCCTCTCTGGTAAAATCTTTTTAGACTTTGGTGGGGTAGAATTCCTTTTAAAATGTGACTTTGAAATGAATAAACTTCCAGTTGAACTTCTCCAAATTTCACCAACAAATCCTTCAATATTGGAAATTAACCTTTAAGCATAACCTGTCCCCCCATAACACTCCTATTTGGAATAATAGATGCATCTTAATAAAGAAAAAAATCCTTTTATTTTGAAGAATGGATGGCAAAAGCCATTTGGTCTGTTCAACATCTCATGGATCACAGAAGGAAAATTTTGAACTTTGAAGAATTCCAGCATAAATATACGGAAGCGCATTGCTATCACGCAGGAAAAAAAATTTTTTT